TCCAACTTTGACGTGACAGCTTTTGCTCTAGCTTATTATATTTTATTTTGTTATGTTTTGTTGTTACCTCTTAGAAGTCTGTTCTTTTCTAGTGAGAGACAGAAAGGGAGTGGATCCAGATGGGAGGGGAGGGGAAGGGAGGAAGAACTGGGAGGAGTAGAGGGAGGAGAAACTGTCATCAGAATATATTGTTTGAGAAAACAATCTATTCTTAATTTTAAAAAAATTTCTCTGAGGGAGGAAAACATTTACGTGTTCTTCCTCTGAGACAGGAAATGTGCCAACTGTTGTCATGTCTATTTTTAAAAATAAAAAGTTCAAATGCAAAATAAATAAACCAAGAAAACAACTGATGAGTACTAGTTAGGATATGGGGGGAAAGAAACCATCATTCACTTGGTAGGATTGCAAACTAGTGAGACCACTATGGAAATCAATGTGGAGATTTTTATAAAGACTAAAAATTGACTAACCATATGACCCAACTATATCACTTGCTGGCATATGCCCAAAGGACTTCATAACCTACGACAGAGATCCTTACTCAACCATGTTCATTGCAACCCTACTCACAATAGCTAAGAAATGAAAAGAACCTAGATGTCTTTCAACTGATAATGGATAATAAAAATGTGGTACATATCCACAATGGATTTCTATTCAGATATAAAGAAAAATGAACTTTTTAGGTAAATGACTAGAACTAGAAAATACTATATTGAGTTGAAATAACCCAGATCCGGAAAGACAAATGTCACATGTTCTCTCTTATTTGTGAATCCTAGTTCTGAATCTTATGAGTTGTGTATGTTACCTGGAATAAACACAGAATCCATAAAAATGGACCCTGTGGCTGCTGAGTGGTGGTGGCACACACATTTAATCCCAATGCTTGGGAGGATCTCTGTGAGTTCGAGGCCAGCCTGGGAGAGAGAGAGAGAGAGAGAGAGAGAGAGAGAGAGAGAGAGAGAGAGAGATCCAGAACAGGAACCAAAACTACACAGAGAAACCCTGTCTCAAAAAAAAAAAAAAAAAAAAAAGGACCCTGTGGGAAGGGAAAGGAAAGAAGGAGCTTTAGAGAGGGCGATGGTAGGATACAGATGCTTTGAGGTGGGGAAAAGGGAAAAACATGGAGAGGGGGTGAATTGACTGAGGAGGGTAAGGGGGGACGGAAGGAGAAGTGAATAATACTAAAGATGCTTCAAAAAGACACAAGGAAATATATTATTTTATAAGCTTATTTTAAAATAGATATGTGGGGCTGGAGAGATGGCTCAGAGGTTAAGAGTACCAACTGCTCTTCCAGAGGTCCTGAGTTCAATTCCCAGCACCCACATGGTGGCTCACAACCATCTGTAATGAGATATGGTGCCCTCTTCTGTATACATAATAAATGAATAAATCTTAAAAAAATAGATATGTAATTGATTCCTTTCTGCAAATATTCATTTTTAAATAACACACACACACACACACACACACACACACACACACATATATATATATATATCACTATTATTTAATGAAGTTATACCCCGGGGGTGATAATGCTCCACTTCAAGAGCCATAGACTAACAAAAATCCCAGTGCCAGGCAAGGGAACCCTCCCTTTGAGTTACTGGTCAGGGGATCTAGGAGACTCTCAAACTACATAGGCTATTGACATTGTCCTTGGTTGCCTCTCAGAACTTGAAGGTAAGACCCTATTGCTGAAGACACTTTGGACACAGGACTTGAAGGAAACAAGCAGAAACTGACCTGAAGCCTACTCCCTGAGGACAGGCTCTCTCTCATAGTATCTGATGGTGCTTTTCAAGCTGCCAAAGGAGAAAGCAATCAGTAATCCTGTCCCTCTGCAAAGCCTATGAACCGTAGCAATTATCACCCTGACAAGATGTTCCCAAGGGTACAGTAGTGGAACCTATATCCTGGGGGTAACCAACAGCTATCTAATTGGATTTAAAGCCTGCTTAATAGGAAGGAATTCGTGTCTGGTACTATAAAGCCAGCCAGCTACTCATGTCTGGAGAGGTCATGGATCCTAGCAGAGACCCTACTACTGTCATTTCCCCCCAAATCATTATAGTTTCTAATTGTATCATAAATACTTATCCTTATATCCACAGGTAAGTGTAGCTCTCAACCCTCATCAAAGCAAGTATATGGAAGTTATTACAGAATCCCACAACTGGTCAAGATGCAAATAATAAGCAGAAAATCCAGTTCCAACTGATACATCTATAATGAAGCTCCCACACCTAAGGCTCAGGGGGCATTACAGGGGAAAAAAAAGATTTTAAGAGTCAGAGGGCCAGGATACCCGCTATGACATAGTGTCTTCTAGACAGGACAGGAAAACTGCACCGATGAAATCTCAAAAATGTGTTTGCCTAAACAAGACCTGAGTGATGACTATAGTGGCTAGTTTTATGTCAACTTGACACAAACTAGAGGAATGTTAGAGGGAACCTCAGTTGAGAAAATGCTCTCACCGGGTTGTCCTGTGGGCGAGCTTGTGGTACATTTTCATGATTAACGATTAATGAGGAAGGGGCCAGTTCACTGTGGGAGGTACCACTCTTGGGGTGGCCCTGGATGGTGTAAGAAAGCGATCTGAGATAGCCATGGGCAACAAGTCAGTAAGCAGCATATCTCCATAGCTTCTGTATCAATTCCTGCATCGTGTGTGTGTGTGAATGGATCTGTAGCCATAGTAATTATATAAGAAGAGGTTATGAACTTGAGAGGGAATGGGAAGAGATATGGGGAGAGCAAGAAGAGGGAGAGGAAGTGATTGAATTTATGTAAACACAATATTCATTTATGAAATTCTCATAAATAAATACATGCCTAGCTGATATCCCTTTTCAATGTTCATTGGGATAGAGATGCTCCTTTATTTTGGAGACCAACATGAT